CCCTCGCTCAGCCAGTGAGCGGGAACCGGTCTGTATGTGGGATCCGAACCCTCGGGCGGGAGCGCCGCCGCGCTTCCCAAGCGGCGCACTTATCCAGTGCACCACCAGGCCGGCCCCTATGATTAATTTTTTGAGGAACTGTCATGTTGTTTTCCACAGCAGCTCTACCATTTTACATTTCCACCAACAGTACACAAGGGTTCCAATTTCTTCACATCCTAGCCAACACTTGTTATTTTTTGATTTGTTGATAGTAACTATCCTAACAGGTACGAAGTGGTATCTCACTATAGTTTTTATGTAGATTTCCCTAATGATGAGTGATGTTGAGCATCTTTTCACATATGTATTGGCCATTTGTATATCTTCTTTGGAGAAATGTCCATTCAAGTCCTTTGCCCATTTTTGAATTGGGTTGCTTTGTTATTGTTCAGATTTTCTACCATTTTTAATGATACTGTGGTGGTTTAAGTACTCTGGATGAATTCCCAATGATCACTTTAACATTTTCTTTCTTTTTTTTTTTTTCTCTTTTTTCGTGACCGGCAACGGATCGCAACCCTCAGTGTCGCGCCCGTACCGGGAGGGGACCGGCATCGGGATCGCAGCCCTCGGTGTTGCGCCCGCCCCTCGCTCAGCCAGTGAGCGGCCGGTCTGTATGTGGGATCCGAACCCTCAGCGGGAGCGTTGCCGCGCTCCCAAGCGGCGCATTGTAGCAGTGCGCCACCGGGCCGGCCCACTTTAACATTTTCTAAACAGAAAAAGGAAGCCAAGATGAACCATCTTTCAGGTATAGTTTCTGTTAATTAATTCTCCAAGAACTGACTCTGCTTATTCTGAGGGTTCGACAGTAGATACAGAATTTAAAAACAGACAAATTGTCACAAAGTAATAATGAAAGGTGTAGGCAGAAAGATTTTTGTACTTTTCTCAATAATAACATAAATGAACAGTTAAATTGTGAGGTAAAAAACATTTTTATCTTTAATATCCTTGTCCACTTTAGGACGGAATATATACTTGCAGGCTTAACCACAATAAACCAGATTTATACGGAGGAATCTATGTACAAGACATCTTACCTGATCTGTTGTAGTGATATAGGCATTTTAATTTGCTGATAATAATCAGGGTATTTTTTCTTTGAAGGCAAATGGAAAAAAGGCTCGGCTATTAGCTGCCCTTGGTTGTTTCGACAGCTCCTGACTGTGTCATAAAGTTGATAAAAAGGATTTGAAACATCCATAAAGGAAGTGATACTCTCTGCTTCTGACTCTCCTTCTTCATAACGTGTAGCTGGAAAGACAAAAAAAGGTATTTGTAAGGGAAAGAAAAAAAGAAAGAAAGAAACAAACAAACAAACAAACAAACCATACTTTAAAGCTTTCAACAACCTTCCACAATATATAATTGAGAATGATTATTTAAAAATAGTCTTCAACCTTCAGTAAAAATGAAAAGATATTAAAAATGCTTAATATGATTCCATGTTTAGAGAAATATTACATAGAAATAGAATGTTAACTAGGAAAAGTTACATTGGTTTTTAAAAGGCTG